ATACATCCTACAAACTAACAGCATTATGGCGTGATTTTTCGTTTCAAACCAATCAGCGTTAAAAGGAGGTCTTAAAATATGTATTCATAGTTTTTCATTATTTAATTAATGACTTGGCATATACGCTAATGAGAATGTATGGAATGAAGCCTATAAATACAGGCTAAAAAGCTCTAGTTTTAGTCGTTTATGTTTTTTTTAAGTTTAGTTTAAATTTAGTTTTTAATTTAATAATAATTTAATTTATTATAATAGTTTAATTTATTATAGAAACATTCGGAGCATAGAAGCATTTTTTTCTGAGCATTCGTGAACTACAATTTGTAAACACGTTTTAAAGAAGGATTGTCTATGGCAAACTCAGCAACTATCTTTAGATATTTTCAGCAACAATTTTCTTCTCAGCAACATCTCAAACTTTTCAATAACTATCTTTCAAACTCTTCAGAAACAATTTTTAAGGGGCTTTACAGGGTTCAAAGAAATGTACATTTTATAGAATTTCATAGAGTTATACAGAGTTCTATAGGATTTATCGAGTTTGTTAGAGCGAGTTTGTTCGTCAGCAACTGTAAATATCAAACTTTTGAGAAACAATGTCATACGTAAAACATTGTATAAGTCTATAAAACACTGTAAAATTGAGTTTTACAGCTTCACAGTGTTTTACCCTAACCCTTAGGGGCTTTACAGGGTTCATGGAATTGTACATTTTATAGAATTTCATAGTTATACAGAGTTCTATAGGATTTATCGAGTTTGTTAGAGCGAGTTTGTTCGTCAGCAACTGTAAATATTAAACTTTTGAGAAACAATGTCATATTCGACAACTATATTTCAAGAGTTCAACAGAGTTGTATTGAGTATTATAAATTTTTATAGAGTTTAATATTTTTCAAACTTTCGAGAAACAATTTTATCGTCAACATTATACAAAACACTTCAGAAACTAACTTTGAAACTCTTCAGAAACAATTTTCTCATCAAGCCCTTCAGCAACTATTTTCATTGCAATGATATTTCAATTTCCTTAGGAACAACAGCAAGCGATCTTTCTAAACAATGGTTCACTCGTCAGCAACTGTAAATAAATATCAAACTATTAAGAACAATGTAATATTTTTAATACTTTTCAAACTTTCCAGAAACAATTTTATCTTCAACATTATACGAAACACTTCAGAAACTAACTTTGAACTCTTTAATAAATAAAGTATTAAAATATTAAATTAAAAACTAA